GTCACAAACAACATTAATTTCGGGGGCATTGTATCAAACAGAAAATCAGAGTTGACAACACCTTTCACACAAAAGGCATCCATGTTGAGGGCATGATGTCAAAAAAAAGAGTCAAAAAGACAACTTTGACATAAAAAGCATCTATTTGGGGGGGCATTTTGTTTCAACAGTAAGGGATTCAACATTGAGAACTGAGGCAGTCTTTGCCACATGGCACCCGTTTCGGGTGCATTTCCGCTTCAAGACAAACAGGTTTTAGTTCCGAGAACATGTCTGTTATAGACTGCATCCATTTTTGGGCGATAATGCTGTACAAAAAAGTGTTTCAATTGGTCACCAAGGGCATCATAGGGAATTCATTTGGGGGCATTTTTCAGCCAAAGAAGATCGATGGTAAAAACATGTCTGCCATACACGGCATCCGGCATCCATGTTGGGCGGTGTTAAATTTCCCTGCAAAAAGTGTTTCAATGCTGAGGATTTCTTCACCAAAGGCATCCACTTCGGGGGCCGATTTCACAAAATTGGACTGCCCTAATGCCCTAAGCACATCCAAGATCAATGATCACAATTTTGGATCTGCACGTGACATTCGAGTCAACTAGGCCTAACTAGGCTTTCTTCAACTGAAATCGTTGAAATTCCTGGGCCGACAAATCATTTTCATGATCCGATTCTACTGCCACTCCTTCAAATGGTCTTACATTGACACCAGAACAAGACCAGGACCCAGAAATTGCTGATTGATCAACGCTTGGCATTGTTGCAACCCCAAACATTGGATATTCTGAGTTTGTGCCGCAACGTTGATCCCCAAGGACTGCGCACTCCGTGCGCCCAACTTCCAGGGCCATCCCACTGCGTCTCCTGCGACCACTGCGCGCACCGCAGCCAAATGCCACATCAGGCGCCCGACAGCGCAGCACGGTGGATGAAGGGTGTGATTCTACTGCAAAAATTGTGGGTGTGACTTGCAAACCTGCACCAAAGATAAATCAGGAGGGGTTGGGGTACAGTTGCTTACAACCATGTTGGATGTAGGAAATTTGAATTCCGATTCTCAACCAGTCCAGAAGCGTTTTCTAGGGGGACCTCGTAAGGAAAAACTGCGCAGTTTCCCACATGTGGAACATTCACTCATCATCTTGTCAGCGATGTACAGTATTTTGGTGGGCCTCCAGGTTGGATCGGTCATGATTAGCTTCACCCATATAGGGAGAAAACCCGCAAGAATCCTGGAGGAACCACTTAAATTTAGGACCAATGTTTTATGATGGCAATTGTGATACTGTCTGCTACTCGCATTTATGCACCGAACATTCCAAAGCATCGTGCAGTAGGATTCCAAAATAGGTTGAGAACCAATGGGGTTCAAGGCCCTCAGCTTTTGGACACATTGGGGTTGCCAGGAAATTGACAGCCAGGCACTCACTACCTCACTACACTGGTTTGTTGACTAAATTAGTTGCTGGACAAAGCTTGAACAAAACATTCTGACGACGTGCAAATCATTGCAAGCAAAACAAACTCCTCCAAAACCACGGCAAAGTTTGATTTCTGTGCCAACCAGTGGTTGCTGGGCAACATCCTGACCGAACTGACCCTGTCATGGATTCTGTTATTCCAGCTGCCAAGACTTGAACTCAGACTTCACATGCTGTTCGCTGGGGTCAGATCCACGCCCTGTTTTCACTGCTTGGCGAGTTGAAGCACCGATTTTGTGTTCTGTATGGTTCTATAAATGGTTCTATGCCACATGGATCTGGGTGAAACATGGTGAAACGGGATATGATATTCAAAGATGCTTGCGGCACAATGCGAAGCAGGGTTGCAATCTAATTCTTGCTGACCGCCTGCAGGGGAGATGAGGCTGGAGCCCAAAGGACAATCAACTCAGTCTGTTGGGCAATTCCTACTGCAACCGTAGAAAAACATGTGGTGCGCATGCACTCCTAACCCCGAATGCAACAAGCCCTGGCAAAAGCTCAAGCAAATCATAAATCTAAGTATACTGACTTTATCAGTTGATTAAAATCGAGACTCAATGGCGGGAACTTAGTCCGCCCAAACATGACCCTCGCGGCCGCGTGTGACAATTCTTAAAGAGACAGCGCCAGCTCTGAAGCAGAAATGCAAAAACCCTCCAACTATCAAATCGCCCCGAAAAACTGGGATCCCAATAAAGCATCTTGGAGGTGCAGCTTGTTCCCCATGGCCTTCAGCATTGGCCCTATGCGTTGCCTACGCGGGGGAGTTCCTTTATTTTCGGATTTTGGCCATGCAAACTTCGAAGCTTGAGACTCTGCAGAAAAGGGAGCGGAACAGTTCCATTAGCTTTTGTTTCTCAACAAAACAGTTGCTATCTTCTAATTACTTGTATTTTTTGGACAGCGGAAATTTCACATACCGGAACGAGCTACACTCATTAGACCCTTCATTCTTGGCCCACAGGCTGCACAATTCGTCGACTCCGCGGTCGTCTACGCGGCGTCTGCCGCAAAATGAAGCAAAATATGCCTACGCCAGCCTACGCCCCCCAGCAAACTGCCTACATCCAACCATGTGCAGGTCAACTCCCATATAAATCTTTACTTGTAAAAAAAAACTCTGCTCATTTAGGGTTTCTTTAGGGTTTCATTTGGGGGTTCAATGTAGGGTTTCATGTAGGGTTTCTTTATGGTTTCAATTTAGCGTTTCAGCTAAGGTGTCAGTTAAGGTTTCATTTAGTTTTTTTCAGAGTGTTGTTTAGGGTTTCTTTGGGATGTCATTTAGGGTGTCACTTAAAGTTTCTTTAAGGTTTCATTTATGGTTTCTTTTGGATTAATTTGATTTCTTCAGGGTTCATTTATGGTTTCTTTAGGGTTCATTTAGGTTTTCATGTAGGGTTTCTTATCAGGATTTCTTTAGGGTTTCTTTGGGTTTCACCTAGGGTCTCTCTAGGGTTTCATTTGGGATGCAAACAGAACAGAATAAAGCAAAAGAAAATGACAAACAAAGAGACAGTAAAGACAGGAAGCAAAGAAGCAAAGGAGCAGGAAGTGGAGCAGCAAAAACACATGACTGAAGAAAAAAAAGTATAGTAGAAGTAGAAAGGCACAGAAGTACAAAAGCAGAGAAGCAGGGAAAACAGAGAAGCAAAAAAGCAAAGAAGCAGGAAAACGCAAAAAGCAGAAAAGCAGAGAAGCAGGGAAAGCAAAAAGCAGAGAAGCAGAAAAGCAAAGAAGCAGGAAAAGAGGAGAAGCAGAAAAGCAGAGAAGCAGAAAAGCAGAGAAGCAGAAAAGCAGAAAATCAGAGAAACAGGAAAGCTTAGAACCAGGAGCCCCAACAAAAAATCCAAAACCTGCCGCAAAAAAAAAACAAAAATAAATAGCCCTCCTTTAAGAAAGGGGGAAAAGGCGCACAATGTCCTCCACAGTTCAAGTATTTATTGCGGTATGCAAACTAACATATCAATATCAATTCCGTTGTTTTGGTGGGTTGCCAATTTCAACCAGGAAATGATTGGGAACAGCTTCTTGGATGAGGATCGCCGAGATGCATCGAGATGCACCTTTTCATTGGCATGTCATTGATTTGACCGAATTTCATTGTAACAATTTTGCACATTGGGTTCCAGCCATGTCCTACATTCATTCGCGTGAATAGATGTGCATTAGTTCACCCAAAAATCATCCAACAATACCGGGAAACAAACAGAAAATCCAGGCTTCAAGCCTTGGCCAAACCAAAATATGCTGCTCGCATCTGTTCATGTCTTTGAAATGAGAAAACAAAAAACCCTTCAACATGCATAGATATATCATTGGGAACAGCTACATGGAAGGGGAAAAAGTGACCAAGGTCCGCTTACTTCTTAGAGTTGATGACAAAAACACAAAAAACAACGCCAGTGCCTGTCGAGTCAAGCACTCCCTGCAATGCCCTAGATTTATTCATGTCAGGTGCCCATATGGACAATACTTAACATCAGGAGATGGGCTGGCGATGGGATTGCAAACTATCATATTTAATATCAATCGCTCAGACTTGTAGGGTTGTCAATTGTGACTATGAAATTAACAGTTTCGTGGTACTAATTTCATGTGGCATGGATTTAACTAATTTGCATTAGTAGCTCGCCCGAACGATGAAAATAATCCATTCACATCCATTCATTAATCCATATTAATCCAACAATATTGCGAAAAGAGAAAAAATCGGGCCTAATGCCCTGGTGAAACGTCCAGGAAGATCACCTCTCACCCCAAAGACCTCAGCCCGGCCTCATCGACCTTCCCCTGCTACAGGAGAGTAGCCAGGCTGTTCATGGACTGAAGCGTCTCCGGATGATTCGGAGTTGTGCTTCCCTCCAAGAGCTCGGCGGTTGAGGGCCTCCGCCGTCTCGGCCGTCTCGGGATGGCACCGTGAAGGGAAGAAAGGGAAGAAAGGTGAGCAACGGCCTTGAGTTTGGACTCCTTTGGACTGATGAAAAAGATGTCAAGTACAATTTTGTACCATGTAAATGCACACATAATTCAAAGCTTGAAGAATAAAACACTTAAAGTTCGATGAGGTGACATTTCAACATCATTTGGATGTGTGCCATCTTCGTTCCAATCTTCCATTTGCACATAAACTCCAAACTCAGGGTGCATCTGTTCTGTGAAAATATGTTGTTTTTCGCTCAAACGCTTTGACAGCCTCAAACGTCTCAGACTGAAACTTGCAACGCGGCACCTCGCGGCACCTCGTGGCATCTGTTCTTTGCAAACATCTTTTGCTAAACTTTGAGATGTCATGACATGACAATGAGATGTCCATGTAAACATGTTTTGGCACTTCCATACATGACGCGATTTGAGATGATTTGAAATCATTTGCGTAAAGTTGACATGTTCATGAAGTTCATGAAGTTCATGTATGATCGCACTTCTTTAGATGAATAATTATGAATACAGATTATGGCACTTCTTTTGCTAATCTCTTTGGATCTCCTGAGGTTCTCACCGCCCCATGGCTCTTCAACCGAATGGTGACAGGTCCTGGTCCTGGTCCAGGTCCAGGTCGGGCATCCCTGTGTAGGGGTTAACCATGGGGATCCCCTCTACAGGCGCCATGGAACCACAAATTCTGGTCGTTTCGGGATACATCCTTAGTTGAATGTTCTTAAAACATGTTGAAACCATCCAATTTTGAATGGAAAATTCTGACCCATACCCAATGATGTAGCTGATATTAGATATACATATCTAACATTATTTAACTAACTATAGATATTTGCTTTACCATTTTGACCATCATTTGTTGTTTCACCATTTTAGGGGTTCCCCTTGGGTTCCCCGCTGTACTTCGGTGTACCCGGAAGTGGATCCGGAAGGCCTGTCAATGCAAAACTGTAAGGGGAGTCCCCAAAAACACGGCATGTCAATGAGAATCACATGTAGAAGCCACTGTTGTTCAAGTCGAGAAGCCACTAAGCCACTGTTTTGACTCAGAAATGAACTGTGGATTCTTGCGAAATCCTGCACCACCTTTGGATGGTTGAAACATGTTGAAACCCACGGGCTTTTTACCGCATCCCTCAACTGGTGTAGAATGTGGCAATACACACGGTATCGCATACATAAATTATAGATGATTATAGACATCCCATCATATCCTACTATATTCCCATGATACTTCCAGTAAATCCCATGGTCAAATTAAGAAAAAAAACCGGGGGACCTTTCGGAGGCTTCATTCAACGATCCTACTGACCTGCACTGCAGCTTCATCTTCAAGGATGTTGCCCTGGGAAGAACTGAGAACCTGACGCATGAGGCGTGAACTGTGAAGAACTCTGGTGATGGAACTTGTGAAGAAAGAATGGAATCACAGATACTGGTAAAATACATGTTAATATCACAAATTGTAAAATACATGTTGTGTAAATATCACAATTATATATAATCGGTGATTGCACCAAACATGATTTTATGATGATTAGATTAATGATTATTAATGGCATCCCCCTAATATCAAAACCCCAAACATGGTCCCAAATATCTGCGAAATATTCGTGGATCCTTTGCATCGAGATCCTCCTGGAACAGCGTGCCTCATCCTGAATGGAAAGGGATGTGTTTTTTTGTTTTTAAATCCCTTCCCCCGTTCAAAAAAAACACACCCGAAACGAAACCATGGTGGATGTAGGGAATTTCCACATTGGGACCATAGGAATGGGGTGTTTAATAAGTTTCATATGAACGGATGATGGGATTATGGTTGATGATCTTCGTGACCAATCTCCTCGGAGTTGAGGAAGCCGGCGATCATCTCTTTGAACAGTTCGATTAGGTGGTTCACCAAGCATCATCTCATAGAATCTTGGAACCACTTGAACCAAGATTCTTTCAACTTTAATCAACTTAATCTTTGAATTCATTTTGAGGTTCCGAGTCCATTTGATTCATTGGGAACCACAAAATTTGAGTTAGTGATTCCAGATATGGATAAATATTGTCTGGATAAACTGAAGTAGGATAATTACCATTTGATAACATGGGAAAAGCATTGGTATTAATATACAGGATGTTTTGGAATAATTTCCCATTGGTACCACGAAGTTGTTCTGGTGATTTGGACTCTGCTTCCCATGCTGACATATGCTGACCAGTGACATCCAGGATCTTATTCTCAGTGACTTCCAATTGCTCCTTGTTGTCACCTGCGATGAGTCGATGAGAGATTTCAGCCCCGGTGAATTTCACCCCGATGCTTCACAAGTGACGGTTGGTGGTTAAGGAGCCCTTAATAAACCTTTATCATTGGGCTGTCACTTTTGGGGGAGCCTCCAAGTACCTAGACGTACCTGGGGTACTATACTCATTATGACTTGGGACTTTTACAGTAGCAATTTTGATGGGTACGTGCATTGGGGGTTTCCAGTTTTGTCATGGAAACCCGAAAAATGCTCCAAGTCATTCAACCATGACTTAGTTAATCGCTTAACCCATGGTGACGACTGGGGATCCTCCATGACTTGACAACCCACGTCCAGCGGGGGCACCTTCGACCAATCTGGCCTTTTCCTCTGCCAGATCTAGACGTTCCTGGAAGCGGATGGATCTGGACCAAGGACCAAGGCACTGCAATGTCTTTGATGCTTCAAAGTCGGAAACACGTAAAGGAAACCCAAAAAAAACATAGATATCATGAGATACCTAGATCGAAAGGTGTGGTATCTCGATTTGTGATGCGCAGTTTTCAATAGCAGCTCTTGAATCGAGCGAAGTACCCCATGACACCATGACACTGGGCTGCCTTTTCAACCACGATGTTCAGCAACTGGTCTTGTAGTCCCACCTGCCAAAAGCGACGACTGCAGCATGTGAAGTTTAAGCAATGTTCCTATCTGCAGAGTCTCAAAATGGTAGATGTAGGCATTAGAAACACGCACAACATCACCGCAGGTACTCAAGTTAGCGACACACTTCACTAAACTCGACCCAAATCCATCATCCAAAAATCTTGAGCAAGTGGAAAAAGGGATGGACATTGATTTTGAAAGATGCTGCTGGCGAATTTTAACTCACGACATAGTCCAACTTCACCCATCTGAAGGCCCTGATAAGCCTTCTTTTGCAGCATTGCTGGCACCCCCAAATGAGGAGATCAATCAATGGATTGGTTTAAGGCAAAATTGAAACCGGAAACCCGATATTTCTATGGGAAAACCAGGTTTCCGGTAAAAATGTTCCCAAAAACCATGGATAAGCACAAGCAAACACTGAGTGTCCCAAGTGTCAACATAACGTAGACCCTCCAAGCCATCAAAATTGCCACAAGTCCTCAAGATAATTGGTATATTGCCAGAATTTTCGAGGTACTTGGAGGGTCCAGGTACTAGAATGATGTATGATACTCAATATATTTTATCCTTTCAAATCCTTTTATTTTTTTCTTAAATATCATTGATATACATGGATATACCTTAATTTAGCTTGATTTATCTTGATTTACCGCAAATGACTTCAGCTTCAGAACATCCGTTGACCAAGCCACGCGCTTCCCTTGGTCTGCAAGAGGACCGGTTCCACCGGATCCGTCTCCTGGCGGAACAAAATCGGGTTCAATCATTGGAAACATGGTGGGTTGAATGGACACTAAACATATTTGTTTGTTTTGATAGGAAGACATATTGATGTTTCATATGGAACCTAGAACTTTTGATGTTTCGACACAAACATTGTTCAATCACACGGGAATGAACTCGAATGCTCGCCCAATCCAAATACTTCCGAGAGAAGAAATCACCAAAACATGGTCCAATTAGCGAAGCTAACCTTGGATCCATCGGGTAGTATGGTTGAAATATGTGTCATTAAATATGTCACAAAATAATACAAAATATATGTATAATGTTTGACAATGGGAAAAAACAATGAACAACTCGCACGAGAAATTCCGAATACTATTACTATCTATTAACTATTACTATTCCATAGTTTCGATGATAACTGACAATTATGGTATCTGAATCTGGTAAATTTATGATAATACATTAGATGTGAGGTGTAAAGCATAGATGTTAAACACACTCGTTCACACCAGGTTCACGCTCGCATATCCTTTTTCCTATTTCCTGTCGCTTCGTATGGTCTCAACCTGCCTCCAGCAGGATTAATGCTTTGGGTAGCTGTGTAGGTATCCTCCTACACAGCAGCACTGGTTAGATCCATACTCCCTGTTCCGCACTCCTGTCAACCCAGGAGGCTACACAGGGTGAATCCTTCACACCTAGTGCTCAGTCGTGCAACGACACGTAGAGATCAACATCCGCAATGATGTGATCCCCTACAAGAGAGGATACTCCACAGGAGTCCTAACTCATAGGGAGGGAAGGGAGGGAAAAGAAGAATGATGAAGCCAGTTTGGCTCAGACTTGAGCCAAAATGGATTCATCAACTTACACACTCACCCTAATGATAATGCACACCCAGTGCCTGCCAAACACGATGCATACATACATTAGATGTGAGGTGTAAAGCATAGATGTTAAACACACTCGTTCACACCAGGTTCACGCTCGCATATCCTTTTTCCTATTTCCTGTCGCTTCGTATGGTCTCAACCTGCCTCCAGCAGGATTAATGCTTTGGGTAGCTGTGTAGGTATCCTCCTACACAGCAGCACTGGTTAGATCCATACTCCCTGTTCCGCACTCCTGTCAACCCAGGAGGCTACACAGGGTGAATCCTTCCCAATGCACTTCATTCCTCCCAAAGCACTTAGAGAAACTCCACGACCTGAAGAAACGCAGGAAGTGGTAGAGACCACAGCTCGAAGGGGAAAACTGCGAAATGCGTGGTGAACCCATGGCGCTTGTGCCATGTAGCCTGGAGGCCCTCACGACTGATCTCGTCGGACCAGTTGGCCTTGCTAGGGATCCACTCCCAGAAAAACCAGGCTTGGAGTGCAAAAAGAGTGATATGAATCAGACGAGTCATATGTTCTAAATCTGCATTGTCTGAACGTCCTCGAATCAGAGCCATCAGCGCCGCTGTATTGTCAATGAGCCAAAGTCCTCTACGGCCCCGAAACGTCGATGGACGGGTGAAGAGCGCATAGAGGACCTGCAACAACTCCAGTTGGGCAATCTTGGTGTCCCCTGGCTCCCAGAGGTTGTACACCACTGGGGGGATGATCGAAACAAAGGCCTCCCGCTGTTGGATGCAGCCATCATGCCAGACGACCAAGAAGCCGCCTGTCCCTTGGCCTGGGATTTCCAAGGCTGCGTCTGAGGCCGCAAGAAAACGTGGCCCTGCATGTGGCCAAATCTCAATTGTCCTGGAGGGTTTGGTAGCAATGACAGCGCGCAACAAGTCAAAGCATCGACGCAGTTCCTCAGTTAACTCTGAGGTACGCTCCTGTTGCCGGCGCTTGATTGGGGCTAAGCCTCCGCAACCAATACGCCCCCAAACTCCCAATTCGAAGAAGTTGGCCACGCCATAGATCTTGGCTGCAACTCCTGGTTGAAGCCTGCTGGAATCCTCAGCGTGCTTCATGAGATGAAGGAGCTTCTGTTCGATGCGTTCACGAGCCCAAAACTGGATGGTGCCTTGGGTGTGAATCTGACTGAAGTCATGATCAAGCCCCAAGAAGGTGCCTGATTGCTGCATCCGCTGGCACTTCTCTGCTGAGAAGGGTGTGCCCAAAAGATTGTTGAGAAACTGCATTGCTCGTTGACCGGATCCTTTGCAAGACTTCCTATCAGTCACATGAGCATCATCAAAATACAAGCTGGTCAAACAGAAAGTGAATCGACGTGCCAAGGCTTCCACCAGCCTACTGTAGCGATTGAAAGACGTGACTGCCAAGGGGAGACCAAAAAGCAAACCAGTGTAAATCATAAAGGCAGGCTTCTGCCATTCATGATGGAAAAAGGCCACAATGCAACATAAAGCCTCGTCCTTGCTCATGGGGCAAAACCTGTAAGCATCTGGCCAGTCCTCACCGCCCGATTCCCATTCTTCTGTGTCCCAGATGGGAAGGGCTCCATATGCGCAGGCATATTGTAGATGCTGAGCTGGCCGAAGGGCTGAACAAAGGGTGAGCTTGTTGGCGTCGCTGGAACGCTCAGACTGCAGGCCTACATAGGCGTCGTCAATCACCCGTTGCTTCCCCGAGGATTGTGTGATCACACATCGAGGAATCAAACGATAAGGTTCTGCACCCAGCAAACTGTGCAGTTCCTCTGCATCCATCGGCAAGCTGCAGAAGCCTTTCTCAGCATCCTTGAGGCTCTGTTGTAACATGAATTCATCATCGTTGCCAGGCCTCAAACGAGTCAGGATCCACCTGTTGTGGGTCCTCCAATCACGAAGGACATCCTCCCGTGTCAAGCGGGATGCCTCCTGCTCTGGGAATATGCCATAGGGGGGTGCGTATCCCACTGCTGGGAGCCCCATACAAAGGCCAGCCGGCAGCGTCACATCGCCCCAGTTGGCTAAAAGCAACAGGATGGCAGTGAAACCAATGTCTCTTTGTGCTGTGGCCGTCCGAATTGCCTCAGTCTGTTTGGTCCTCAAATGTTCCGTGACCTTGCTCCAGCGCCTCTTCATCTCGGCTAAGAGGCCCATAGCACGTTTTCTCAGCTTGCTCAGGTCGACTCCTGGCATGCTCGAGAAGGAAGCCGCAAAGCGAAGGTCATCATCCAATACCGGGAGCCCTTCTGTAGGCAAAGGTTGTACACTCAGCTGCAAAGCTCGCTCAAAATGCTGGTCTGGTTGAAGATGGAACGGCAAGAGGGGTGCCAGCGCAGCCCTGTGGTTGATGGCCCCCACCTGCTGGCCCTCAGCTGTCCGCATCTTCTGCCTCACGGAAGGAGCTGCCAAAACTGGGTTCCAGCTGCCTTCCATGTCAAGCCCCTGTTGGTGCCTCCAACGGGTGTACAGGTCGAGCGGGTGCTGGTTCACCAAATCCTCAACGAATGGGATGGCAAGCCCTTCCAACCAGTCACCTGGGTAGAGCTTCTTGAACGCCAGCGCCAGTGACTCCTGCAAGATGTAGAAAGGCCCAAAATGGGTGCCCGTTGCTTGGGCAATGCTCGACAGGAGAACACTGCGTGTCACTGCCGTGTGGCTCCTGGCATTCGATCCTTGGACAACTTGGGGAGCTACTTGATGGCGATGTAAGCTGAGCCGGTCAAACACAGCCCTGCCAAGAGGTCAGCCTCGCAGGTTTGTGCTGCCGGGCAATCACACACCAAAACCTTGCCTTCCAGCTCGTCCAGCTCCTGCCATAACGTCTCTCTGACATACTGGACAAAGAGGGGAATCCAATCTTGTGGTGTGCAATTCACCCCAACTTGCCAAGGCGATTTCCACTTCGTTGTCTGGAGCCGGTGAGCATGGTTTCCCATACCCACATAGACGTGCCCCAGGGGCAACTCGCCCTGCTGCAGCACCTCATCGACGCAAGCCCGGGTTGGCACACGAGCCGCTTCCGCCGTGTCCACCGGCCTCAACCCCAGACTGATTGCCAAAGGAGTCATAGCCCATTCTCGGAGCGACCTGGGATCCAAGTCAAGCCAATGATCCCTGTGACCGGTACAGCTAGGGGATGGCGAACGTGGCACATACAATTTGGCATGACCAACACGCACCGCCCACCATGAAGCCGCTGTCGCGATCGCAAAGCAAAGTTCTGCTGTGTACTCGGACTCCTCGGCGGATGGGTAGTGCCGTTGGCCGTCTTGGATCCATGGCTCCCATTCTTGGGGGTCATGAAAGTGGTTGCAGTCAGCCCTGGGCCATTGTGCGATTTCTGCGATGTTGTGCCTAAGGCGTTGCAACTTCGCCCTGGCACCTCCAAAGCAAGATGCTGAGTACCGCTGGTCTGACCACCGACCACTATCCCACATGCTAACTTCATCCGGCGTCCACCAATGAAGGCTGTTGTATGGGTTCTCCCGGACAGAGCCACCCCCCCGATCTACCAACTGGTCAATCTCAGAGAGCACAAAGCTGGCCGCTGCGTTGTCCTTCTCCACCCTGCTGTACTGAGACCCTGTCAACTCAGGAAGCCCCAACGGGTGTTGTTCCGATCGCAACGGTCGGGGTGGTGGCCTACCATCTCCAAAATCTCGGGGGATCTCTCTGGCCCGGCTCTTTGTAGAACAATCCAGGGCGGCTGCAATGAAACAAACCGATTGTAGCTGATCATGCAGTGATTGTTGCCTAAGGCTGTTGGATAGGTCATGACCCCGGTCAAGCATCCAGTCCACTGAGATAGTCTCCCAACCACAGAAGATGAACGCTTTTGACAGGGGTACGTTGGGCCCCGCATAAAGATCTGCCATCCGCGGCAGCTGACAGTCAACTCTGTCTACGGGTGTTGCCTCTTCCTGCCCGGCAGAAGTCCCCGCCTCCTCTGCTGGGCACCGTCATGGCGATACCTTGGCCCTGCACTGGCCAGCACCATGCCCCTGCATACCACAGACTCGCTCCCCCCGGACAACCGCACCACACTTGTGCTGTCCTTGAGGACAGGAGCCTTTGGGATTCTTGCACTGCCCATGTTGGAAAGCCTGACAAATCTTCGTGCCATC